AGTTTGATGTGATGTCAGCTGTTCTAATTCATCTTCTGTTTCACAGGGGAAAATAGGCATTCCTAACCCAAACCCAAAGTGATAAAGGCAGCACACATTATGAATACATTTTGTTTCAAGTGAAAAAAGAATCAGGTTACATAATAGAGGAAATGGGAATCTGATAACACATGGATGTATTGTGGAAGCCAAAACAATCGGGCTGTTTCATATCAGTGCGGTTAAAAACACCTGCAGGATGGGCCAGGGGAAACCTGGGGCACACATTTCTTATTTTGAAACAATACATTTTGAAACAATACATTTGCAAGTTGTTAGAAGTTTAGCATATGTTTTGTCATAGATTAACTGCATAGATTAAATGAACATTACAAACATTATCAGCTGAGCATACACCATTATTAAATACTATTTGAGTCGTAAAATTTCGATTATATCAGAGAAGAACTGTTTTCAAACATACCAGGTCATCCACATTAATTTATTTGTAAGTTACAAATATATCCTCTGCAAAACAAACCGCAAAAATGATTTTAGATGTGTATTTTATGTTTCAAATAAATAATCAACAGATGGTAATCGATTGTTCAAAATGGGCACATGGAACAGTAGATTTTAAAAGTAAAGGTAGTCTGTTGTCGATATCATCATTAGAGTCCAAAACAGACTAGCATCGTCGTCCCATAGAAGCACACAGGTCCCGAAATGTGGCCTGGAGAAGGTTCACCCACTCCGCCTGCAGTGCTTGTGCCAACGGTCTGAGGTTCCATGTTCTGTGGTTGTTGCTGATGTGCTCGCAGTCCTCAGACCAGTGTTTGCCATAAATGTTCGATTGGGTGGGGGGTGGGGGGTATGGCAGGACCTGGATGTTGTGATTCCTGAAAAGGGTTGTCGGGCGTTGTCTTGTTGGAAAATAACATCCGTTTGTTGCCTAATGGGCAGGACGTGTGGCCGAAGAATCACATCCGTGTAGCGTTGTGCCGTTACATTCCCCAGAACTCACACTAAGTCTGTTCTAGCAGCGTAGGGGATGGCTGCCCATATCATCACACCCCTACCACCAGATCTGTCCACTTCCTGTATGCAGTTCCCCGCATAACGTTCCCCGCGACGCCTGTAAACACGACGTCTACCATCCGCACTGCGAAGCATAAAACGTGACTCGTCACAAAACCAAACTTGTCACCATCGCAGTTGAGGCCATATGTGACCTTGACACCACTGACGTCGAAGCCGACGATGAAGGTCTGTCAAAATGACACCTCAAACTGGTCATCTATCGCGAATATCTTAAGCGCGTAAACGGCTGGGCTGATATCCTACGCATTCCTGGTATTGCCGTAGCCGTAAGAATCTGTCCTGTGCTCTTGTAGTGACACGTGGTCGGCCGGACCTGGAAAGGTCACGAGTTGTGCCGTGTGTCTGATAACGGTTCAACGGTCATGTAAGGTGCTTGGTGCAACGTGGAAAAACCTGGCTGTAGCTGAAGACGATTCTCCTGTTTGCAGTCGGCCATTGGCGTTGTTGCGTAGGGCCTTTGTCAGTCGTGGCATATTTTCGCTGTTCAGATTGTAATGGCATGCAAATGAAAACCCAACATTTTTTATAGCCCAACAAGTGATGTTGTACGTGCATGTCATGTTGGTGTGTTTCGGCGGCACGCTCTCACGCGGTTGTGTTTTGGCGAGTTTTCAATCTTTTCAGCAAACTTCTTCAGTACACCATTTTTTCCACACAAATCAATCCTAATCCATGCAGAAATTACCAATTCGTTTTGTATATTTATTTTATATAGATGTCGGCAACACTCAGTCAGATATTTACGATTTCAACGAACTACAGATAAAAAAGGTTCTATACATAGTCAGACACAGAGGTGTCAGACATGAGGAATATCTAAGACATCTCCGCTGGCTGTCTTAATTAGGTTTATCAACTTCTGTGTTCTCGTTTTACCACCATTTGGTGGGACAAGAATTATTTTAGAAAGAAAAAATATGTATTTATATACATAATAGTGATAAAACAGCAAGAATTATGTAAAAAAAATTGGGTAGATTTTCACTTCTCTTGTCTTTCTGGAAAATATAAACTGTTTTTATTTAAACACATTTGGCCACTTGATGTATTTCCCATGCATATCGTTTTAACTTAGAAACTCAGGACACGGCATCTAAATATATAATGGAATTAGTGGGTGTCACATGGATAACAAGTTCTATAAACCAAATGCTCCAGAATGAGACATTGTCAAATCCATTTGAAATATAACAGAAAGCACAGCACAGTTTATTTTTTGGAGTATATGCAAAGTGAAAATATTATATAAGTAGCTGAGAACCATTTCAAAATTCATGTTATTTTCAAATGTTGATGTCGAGAAGAATCGTCAGGAAACTCTGATTGAGACAAGTGGAGTTTCGGTGTTTACATGTGTGTAGAGTAGCTGTGCTAACGTCCAGCTGTAAATGCACAGTCATCCTATAGTTATTTTTCCTTTTATAAGTTGCCTGACTACATCGAAAAGTACATAAGTTAATGACAATGAAGAGGGATGGTACAACTGTGGACTGATTGAAGTACAACTACACAAAAGATGAAACGAATCCAGGTAACATTTATACAAAACAAATATTTAATATCATTCAAATTATTCTCCCAGTATTAGACTCAAAGGGATAAAACTAGATACCTTGTTCATTGGATAATGATATATTGGCAAGTAAATGTACAATATGTACATAATCTGCTGGTCCCAAGAATCCTAAAAAATCGTCTGTAAACGCATGTCACTCAATGAGACAACAAGTCACTTCATGTGACGCATGTCCCAACAATTCTGAACCGTGGTGAATCCTGAAAGATGAAAGTAATTTTCAACTCTCTTTACCCCTATATTTGTATTGGTTTTCTGTTATGAGGTGATGTATATGTTCTTTTGCAGCAGGAGAAGTCGGTAATATTCTTCCAACAAAATAACACATTTCTATCATTGATTAATAAAAAAAAGCTCGTAAACTTGTAGTGAAACGATTATGAGTCAAAATGTCATCCGTAACAGATCGTGTATTGAGATTTATACCAAATTGTCCGGTAGTTTAAATGGTGGGGTTCGTCAACGAGGCACATTGGGGTTATATTAGTTTGTTTAGCCGCTTGATAGGTTTTGGTTCCCTCTATTAATTCAATAGAACATCACCTGACTGGCTATTGATTCTGAAAGTAATTAACCCAGTAACTCGGTCGATCGGGCTTAATACCCTGCCAGTGTGGGATTTGAAGTCATATTCCAGGTTCATAAGAACGACAGCTCCGATAGTGTGGTTCAAGGAGGATAACATCTAAATCCGCTCAAGCCTCTATGTGCTATCTCAATGTTCGGTACACAGATGTGATCAGTGATATTTTTCCACCCTTTGGCTACATTATTTGGCATACCAGCTTTAGATCCTTCAAAGGACTGTTTCTTGATATGCAGACGGGGATTATTATTTCAAAACATCGATTAATCAGATGGGATACAATCTATGCTGTTTCAGGTTAAGGGGCATTCACACGGGAAAAGTAGTTGGTACAACTTGTTGTATGCAATTAGTTGTACGTACTAAAGTTGTATACAACTGGGCATTCACACGGCGGCGCGTTGCATACAACTCGGATCTCGCGAAATCTCTGACCAGAAGCTTGTGTACATTCACCCCTGGAATCCTGCTTGCCGATTGAAGTTTCAGACGCACAGTTTTGAAAACTGAACCTTGTGCGAGAATTGCGGTCTCGTGGAACAGGGCCGAACTACGACTTTGCAGTTAAACGGAATTAGAAAGCATTCAATTTTTTACCCCATGGTGTAAAGACTGTTTGGAAAAACAGTTTTATATGTTGTCCACTTTTATGTTTTGTTGACGAAAAAACGAACGATATAATAATGTATTATGGGTACAATTCTGCTCTTCCCCGCCGTGATATTGGTGGAATATTGCTAAAAGCTGCGTAAAACCATACTCACTCACTACATATATCAGAATAAAACGGTTTTGTATAACGTGACACATTCCATACGGACACTTACTTGTTTTATGTCGCGAAAATAAAATTTCCATTACGTCCTCAAATACGAGGGAGAGGTCTACACGTGTACAAAGAAATAGGGGCCCAACCGCCACAAACGCGTACCTGGTGCAATCTTAAGGCATCAATGTTCCGTCAATAACCAAATGTGTATGTGTGAATAAGAATATAAAGTGACCTTTAGGTATACATTTACATTTAAAATTTTTTTTAAATGAAGTGCCATTTTATTTTAAATTATTTATATAAATTTGCCATAATGAATATATCACATTCTCCAAAGAAAATATGTATGTGCTGCAGTGTGTTACACTCACATTATAGAAAGAATATACGTTACCCGACACTATGTAAATGTCAATTTCTATGTTCAAAACAACAGCCAGCAGATTATCAAAAGTTTAATTAAAAACATCTGTGGCATTTCAGATACTATCACACAGTAATACATACGTACCTGTATTGATGGTTTTACGCCGCTTTTAGGAATATTCCAGCAATATCACGGCGGGGGACAGCAGAAACGGGCTTCACACCTTGTAACCATGTGCGGAATCGAACCCGGGCCTTCGGCATGACTAGCGAACGCTTTAACCACTAGACTACCCCACTGACCCTGACACTTGGAATACCGAAAAGCGGAAGTTACCGACGTTAATCTGATCATGAGCCGCCATTATTGTTGACAACGTGACGTGTAAATATCACTTGACTTTGATACGCGTGTTCATTGGCTGTATGCGTACGACTTGTCGCTTGAAAAAAGAGCATGCCCTATTTCATACAACTCACATCCAACAAGTTGCATACGTCAAAAGTTGGTCCGACTTGCGTGTTCACACGATGAAATTGGTTGCATGCAACAAATTGTATACAACTAGTTGTACCCTGTGAATGCCCCTTTAGATACATATGTACATGTATATACTTACTGGTAAGGTGTGCATTTTCATCAAAGGTCGACCACATGAGTGCCGTGTAGAAGGGGGTCCAGCAAATGACATAACACAGGACTACTGCCAAGGTCATCTTAATGGTTTTGACCTTTGACTTTGACATTGACCTCACATGTCCTCGTGGATTCATGGAATTACTTTTGAACAATTTTGGGTCAGTTTCATCCTCGGTGTTCTGCTGATTCTGACTTTTTCTAAACGTTATTCTCCACATGATGCTCTTGTTCTTTCTTTTCCTGTTCAGTCTGTTATCCTCCTTCGAACCTACACTGATCCATACCACGTGACAGATTCGCCCATAACAGAACGCCAGAAGCAGGGTCGGCAGGGCGTATATGGATACAAATGACCACACCGTGTTCAGATAGTCTGTCCAAGGCGGGTCAAACGTCGCCCAGCAATCATATATACCTTTATACACCTCCTTTCTTGAAAATATTATGATTTGCGGAATAGAAAAAATAAGGGCTAATCCCCAAGCCAGCAAAGTCATAAGATGAACTCTCTTTGGATTCATTGTTTGGCTGGTTAGGGGGTGACAAATGGAGACATATCTGTCTATTGCCGTCATTACGAGCACATATGACGATGCGTACATTGCCACCAGTTGGAAATATTTCATTGATCGACAAAGAAAATCGTTGCCAGAGAAACGATAAGTGATATCCCATACCAGTTGTGGAAGAACGTTGAAAATGCCCACAAAAATATCAGCCAGACTAAGATGGACAATAAAACACTGCATCCGGGTAAGCTTCTGTTTACGCAGGCGCAAAACGATCAGCACAAACAAATTACCAAAAATAGCAAAATAAAGGATAATTGACTGGACGGCAATTTCAACTTTCGCCAATTCTTCGCTCCTCCCGCCCAATCTTGTTGTGTTACTGGTCGATGAATTATGAGTTTCCGAAAGAGAATATGTAACCGTGCCATTGTCAGCCTCCATGGCGCCGTAGGTTGCAGGTGGTGCTTCTGTCTCCATTATCACTAGCTGAGATATGATACCAGGGCTGAGAACCGACTGTGATATCAAGGCCAGTTATTCATCGAAAACCTGTAACAAAATCGTAAAATATTGAGTTTTATATTATTAGGATCTTGGTCAATGGTCACATGCCAAACCATGAAAAAATATCAGGGTGATTCAACAATCATCGGATTCTGGCAAGACATAAGGGACGCAACCCTCCGCAACGAACTGTACCATCTTAAATGATTGTACAACCTGATTCCGAAAACATTTTTCAGTAAGTGAGTGAGTGTGGTTTTACTCCGCTTTTAGCAATAGCAATATTCCTGCAATAGTAACGCAGGACAGACCAGAAAGACGCTTCGCACATTGTACTCATGTGGGGCATCCTTATTTGTTTAACAGTATAACAGTCGTCATGTACGTCGAACAGTGAACTTTCATTTTTTCTGATAGCTACTATATATAAAAAACACTCTTATCTCCGTAAGGTAAAAGAACTAAACTGATATTTGACATGTTTGTGATCACATATTTAACTGCAGGGTTTGTTGTAGCTTTCGGTGAAAAGTTGTCATTAATGTCCCGAACGCTCTAGGTTTTCATGGCACCATCATTCACATTCCAGAAAGACAAGCTGCTGAGGTTTTAAACATCCTTCCGTCTTTGAGGCGCCAAACACATGTAAGAGATATTTTGTGAAGATGTTTGATAATCACTTGCCTAATGGCACCAACTGCATTCAGATAACATCACAGGGGATACGTCGCCCCTTTCTTCTAATGTAAAAGTATTTGCCCAGTCTGCAATGAAAAGTTGCATTGGCGATGGAAACGCAAAGCATGTGATTTGTCACATTGGCAGTAATTTCGCTGAACAAAAGCTTCACTGTAAACCAAACAACTCCAATGTTAATTAGATCGATCAAATACATGAACACCTTCTTCCATGATTGATATGATGATTGGGAAAAAAATCTTTGCATATATAATCAAACCAGTATACTCCAAATGATCGTGTGGTGAACAATATAATTAGGCATTACAATATCCTTGTTTCTATTTAGAACCGAGCGATCATTCCCTTCCCGTTAGAATGAATTATTGCTTGTAAAGTGCCATCTGTGAAACACTTGGGTATTGTGTGAATAAAAATCAAATCGTTCTGGGATGAAATGTCTCCCCGAGCACAGAGCTAAATATGTGATATCATATACACACAACACTCCTATAGGAAATCCCTACAATACGCATATACTGCTTGTGGTAATTCGACCTGTGTCAGTTTGTTGTCATGGAATGTGTGCGGTTCGCGTTTTCCTCTGAGGACAAATATGTGTTCTCATTCAAAATACTTCTCTGTAGGAAAACCAGTCGTTGACCACTGATAAGTGACAGCAAACAAATGACTGGTTGTCATTCAAAAGCTAGGGATATCAAAATAAGGCATCAGAGAAGTTAGTTTGGATTAACGACAAATAAATTCAACAAAGTTTCGATGCGTCCAAGGTGATACAAAATCTTAGACGTTTATCACTTTGATAAAAAAAAACAACGGACACGGGTGTTGTTTTCATAAGCATCAAAAGGTGAGGTGAGATGAAATGGGGTTTAACGTCACGTTCAAGCTTATAGCGACGTGTGTATGTAGTGTAGCAAATGCTGGCCCAGTGAGATATCATGCCGAACTTTAACATGAATGCCCACTCAGACACTATATATTCATTCCGAGCCAACCAGTCCTTGTTCAGCCCCTTAATTCCGTGCGACAAATAGGGTAACAGCAAGTTCCATCTTTTAACGTCTTTTGGTCTGACGCGGCCGGGGATCTAACCCCGGCCTTCCTCTACCACTGGACCACGTTTTACCACTAGACCATGAAGGCGGTCATATACACATATAATCATTATCAGAGCGAATATAGTTTTTGAATCCTGGATCATCTGTTCCTGCCACGACACAGAAGTGCAACTCTGTGCAATGAGGAAAGGATCCTGACTGCTTATCATGTATATGTGTACACATATATCCGCCAGGTTTTTTTAAAAATAAGTTCGTTTTTCCGAAATTCCCTATTCACTGCATCTCAAGGGGACAAAATTGTGCTAATTATAGTCTGTTTCGATTTGACTGCCTTCATTATATACGAAATGTAAGTATTTGTTTTAAACTAAATGACATTGACACATCTTTCCAAAAACCTTTCAGCAATGACCTGATTTCCTTCAGACAAACAGAAAAGCAGTAATATAAAATACACGTATCATGTACTGAGTATAAAAATAGTTCCATACATTGTATGTACATGAAGGTTCGTGCCTTGCAGTTACCTTCCTAAATGGTCAGCCTATCTGGTAAATTACCAACCAAGTACCTTACACCTTAGAGGATGCCGTAGGTCAACGTGTGACCCCCATGTATACACACATAGGTCAGATAATAACGCAATATGACTGTCAGGGGAAAATAAAATGCCAAACGTCGGTTGTCAACGTATCTGAATGACATGAATTGGTCGCCATAAGGTCATAAACTAATAATGCACCGATGCCCGGGGCAAGTACATACACACACAATGGCATAGGGATGGATCGGGACGAGGCGAGTCATGACATAGTGGATGCAGCAAGGGCTAATGATCCTCTGTGTGAATATAATATTGTGTGAAACCATAGTCCTATATAGGTCAAAATTGTGATGGATACCTCCAGTGTCAGAGATATATGCTTAAGCAAGTATGTGACTGTTTTCTTAACCTGATCAGCTGTTAACCTGGTAAGAGCAAATTGTGAACAACTTTGCGTTCTATCAGCAAATATCATAAGCATTCTATTTTGGGTTTTTTATTCTAAGTAGGTAAAGGGGATAAATGAGCATTGGCAAAGCATAACTTCACAGAATACGTATCAATGATTTAATAACGTGATTATCTCCAGATGAAGATCTAAATAGGGCAACTGCCACGAACTTAATATCATATGGCCAACATATTCAGATTACACATGAAACAGAAAATCCTAGTGTTACATAATGATGTGAAATGGGGTTAACGTCGCGTTCTACAGTGTTTCACTCATGCGCATGTGTGTGTGTTTGTGACTGCTTGTATTACTCCGCATCTATGCTGAGTTTATGGGATCATCCCACTGAGATAACATGCCGCAACTTGATATAGATAGCATTCACACCGAGCCCGCCATTCCTTGTTTTATCCTCTTGATGCCGAGGGCCACGCAGGGTAACAAGTACTTTAAAGTCTGTTGGTATGACGTGGCCATGGGGTCGAACCCCCGACCTTCCGCATTCCAGACAGACGATATATCCACTACATCATGGATGCAGATTTAGCAATTATACATTTTCTGTTGAAACGTGATGCATGGTCTGCATAACTTATCTATTTAAACTATTTGTCTATGTATATATGTGTATATACAGCCGTACTATTGCTGGCTTTTGTTGTTTCAGAGCAAAACCTGTACTTAGAAACAATTTGTCTCTACCTGCAATTGACAAGCACACATTACAGGATATGCCCCATGTATATATATAGAGCCGTTCTATTGGTGGAGTTTGTTGGTTCATAGCAAAACTTGTACTTAGAAACAATTTGTCCCTACAAGCAATTGACAAGCACACATTACAGGATATGCCCAATGCAGAATCACCTAAAGCATCTGTCAAGGTTTACAGTCAACAAGGATCACTGTCCTGTATGACAACCGCTTCCCTTTGCCTTCATGTTGACAGATGGATTACTCACTATCATCAACAAAATACGGTAGTCTGCAAACAAAACGCCTGGAGTGGGCTCTTCGTTGCAAGTGACAGCAACAATCGCCTGATAAAATTCCTCGAAGGGAATTAGTCTCCGTGGGACTCCCTTTAATGGGTTTTCACGGCGATCGAGCGATTTTATTACATAATCTGTGTCGAGATTGCAGAAAAGCAATCGATCTTTTTTTTTATTGGTGGGTTCCGGTGAGAAGAAAAAGTCATTGAATGAAAACCCATGGAGGTATCTGACCATATATGCTCTGACATCGTTTTACTTCTGACCACATCATCCGTGCCTTAACATTTTTTGTTGATTGAAACATTTATTTGCATGGGATGACAGGCTGTAATAGCTCTGTATACAGTACTTGTATGTTACTATGAACAACACAATGAAATTTGATATATGGTAGCTACATCCTACCTTGCAAATTTACAACCGAAGTTAGCAGCACGACAAAGAGAATTATGCATTTAATATTATGTGTTTCTCTATTAAATTAATCATACAATATACAATGAAACTAAGGTACGTTGACGGACATTTTGCTATATATCGAAACCTACACAGTTGCACAGGTTATTGAATTATGACGAATTACAAGTAATGTAAAATACACATTGTTCGAATACTTCATTATTATACAAAACCCACATCATCATTTAAACAAAGATACAAAGAGAACATGACGCAGTCAATGTTGTGTGTTTTGGTTTGTTTGTTCTTAAACGTCAGTCAGTTTTATTCAAGCTATATGACGGAGGCCTGTAAATAATTGAGCCTGGACCAGATTTGAGCAACGATCCACGCATTCGGGCTACGATGACGCGCAATCAGTCGAGTCACCAATGGTAACCAACCTATCCATTATATCGCATACATTGCTGGGATCTATTCTAACCCGAGTTACTTTGACTCAGATGATATAATCATACCTATGGTGCAGCAACATTTAACATGGGCGCCTTGGACCATTGACCTACCCGCGACGTCGGGCCATGAACCATTTGTGCAGGACAGAAGATGCATGTCAATAACTGTCACGGAGCTGTGCTCCAGTGACCAGGCTTTCATTAAACAAGAAGAAAGTAATAATGAAAACGTGGTAATAGGTTCACGGGTTTATGACTAGCAGCTAATTGTATCAATAGGCAACATATGGGGTCAAAAACCCAATTTACACTGACAATGATCACTGATTAAATCAGGGAAACTACACAAGCGGATTAGCCAAGCAACTGCATTACAGTAATAAAATGAGAGTAGCTGAAACAACGCTTTGACAATATGCATAGACAGCCAATTTA